ACGTACGTACTACTACTACTACTAACTAACTAACTAACTAACTAACTAACGTAACGTAACGTAACTAACTAACTAAACTAAACTAAACTAAACTAAACTAAACTAACTAACTAACTAACTACTACTACTACTCTCTCTCTCTCTCTCTCTCTCTCTCTCTCTCTCTCTCTCTCTCTCTCTCTCTCTCTCTCTCTCTTACCCTATTTTTCCTCCCACTTTCTCAATCTTTATCCACGTTTGATCTTTCCCATATCTAAATCCCATAAATCTCTCGTTTCTTATTCAAATCTCTTCTTCTTCCCCCAACATGAGGCCCCATAAATCTCTAACTAAATCTCCTATAAATCTCTAACTAAATCCCTTAAGTCCATGAAATTAGGACTTTCCCATTTTGTGCCACATTAACCCTAAAAATTTGAAACTTGCTATCCTACCCAATTCCTAAATAAAAGTAACTCAAAAATAATAATTAAATTATAATTTTGAATTTTTCCTAATTTTTATCTACATCATCTTTCCTCACTTAACATTCAGTTAAGAGAAAAAATAAATCCAAAACTGCTATCATTGATTGCAAATTGCATAGGATGGACAATGAAAGAGAATTATCAGACCTAGACTTTTGGGTTCTTGTATTTTGACTTTTAAAGAGATGGAAATACAATTGCATTGTTAACACTTGATACTCTCATACTTTCCATTCTTGAAACTCAAAACCTCATATCTTGTCAGACTTGGAAATATAATGTAACAAAACATGATCTATTTGAAGGAACTTTTGAAACCACAACAACCCATAAAAAGTTTTACAAATACAATTTAAAAAGGAATAAATAAATAAAATAACATTTTATAATGCCGACACTTTTACTTAAATAAGGGGACCTGGCATGTCTTGCATGGTATATACAGCAAAATAGAAATACTGATATGGAAGTTTTCCATGTATGATGCTCAAGACCAATCACAGACTCCAAAAATCAAAACAGAAGCAAAATACCGTAGGGCAAGAACATTGAGGCTACCTTTGTAGAAGAACTGAATAGCATTTTCAGTGTCCTTCAAGGCTGAATAACTCTGTGCAACCTTTAGAAAGAAAGACTCCTACAAACGTTCAAACAGTAACGAGGAAAACATTTAGCCGGTGTGTAAAACTACTTTATTTGCACAGGATTTGACAATGAACAAAGACATAACAATTCAGAAATCAATACCTATTTATAGTGGAACAAAAACATAAATATGATAAGGGCATGCAATCGAACCATTTAATTTTGCTTTTTGTAAAATATACAACAATGAGAGAGGAGGCCCAAAAAACAACTTCGAAAGCATCGGAAAATATAAGGAACTCTTTGGATGCACAAGTACAATATAATCCATTTCCATCAAAAGCACATACGATCTGTTATTTTCAGCAGCTACTGTTTGAATCTATTTGAGGTTAAGGTTGCCTTCTCATGGATTGCAGCATGAGCATATAATGCTTCTTATGAATGTTTAGCTACCAATATTTGACTTGCAAATGGCGTGATGGCCGTGGATGGCATTGATAGCAGTTGTGTTGCAAATGTCAAATCCTATTGTTATTTCTTTTGTATTCAAGTCCTTAAGGACTTATTCGTCCTCTTTCCATACTTGAGGCACTTTTGCTTTTTATAATCTATCACTATACATAAGAATGAGAGGGAGTGTGGGCAATCTAACCTAATGTGAAAGCCCGTTCTCTCCTCTCCTCAACATCAGTCTCTTTCTTATGCTCTAACGCTTTCTATCCCTAAATATCTTCCTCTCTAGACTTTCTCCTTCTTTTACCTCTCCTATTTTTCCTCGTTTCTACATTTTTGGAGTGCGGATGATCACAGGCTTTTCTCAGGGGATGGTCACAGGCTTTTCTCAGGGGATGGTCACAAGCTTTTCTCAGTGACTCTATTGGAGAGACAGAAGTGGGATCTTTCAGCGACCCTGGTCACAGGCTTGTCTCAGTGGAATTCTTCAGTGGTGGAATGAAAGATGTGCCTAAACAATCCATGCGGTTACTGAGAGATCCCACTGCCGTCTCTCCAATATGGAGTTAAACCTAACAGACAATTACAATGGCATCTGAAATCTGGATCAAGTGCAAACCTGCAATCAAAGACACTTAAGTGGTTGCAAAATGACAATGAGTTACAAAAGAAAACTTTCAGAAGAATCTGACTCAATTGCCGTCCCGTTACCCACAAAGAATCTCTAGCCTTCTGCAAATTAAATCCCAACTATTGATGCCCCTTCATATCATTGAGGGTTCACTAGAGAAGCTCAATGCTACACAATCTATTCATGACCTCCAACACTACACTTTAGAAAATTATAGGTTTCAAAGGCCTGGTAGTTCTCACAACCATTGCGACACTAGCCCAATAAATCTCTGTTGGCTTTCCTGATTTTCGTAGTGCTCAGGAACATTTGACCATCTGAAAAGGTGACATTCATCATTTGATTGCCATAGAAAATCCCTCTGAACAAGCTCAATCCTATCAGCAATGTTGATATGCACTTTGAATAGAACTATAAAATAAATGAAATGGGAGATGATGTCATATTAATGAGTGTGATTCTTCCAAATAAAATAAAATAATATCTAAGTAGGCAACATCATCTGGAATTGTTCAATACCAGTCTCCACAGATGACCGTTAAGCCTGCCAATGCATAAAGGGAACCTGAGGTGCTTGCAGTGGCCTTGGTTAGTCCAACATTCATGAGAAATACAGGAGCAACAAAGGCTCCCTTAATTACCTTAATACTCATAACGGATATGTTTCTTCAAGTTCAGTCTACAGCCAGAGACTACCTCGAAGCATCATATAATAAACCAAAGGTTACCATATGGCACCATTACAAAGGTTGACGCAACCCATTTATATGAGTTCTAAAAAGTTGACGTCAATAATGAAATGCATCACAAAGACAATTGAAAGGTGGGAATGTGCTCTAGACAAGTATGTAGCGTTAAAATATTTTCTAACTATATTTATTTATACAGCTAATCCACTTACAAGCACCAATTACAACTCAAAAATCATAAAACAAAACCTTCAAGACATTATAGGATCCTAAGTTGCATACCAAAAAAAACCCCTTTTATTCAAATAAAATTAAGATACAATGTACAAAAGTGAACCAAGAATTAAGAAACAAGGAACCATAAAATGCCATATTACCTGGCCTTGGATCATCTCCAAGGACTTAGCATACCCTACTCCATATCTCCAACACCGATGGCGCACATGCTCTAGGTCCTTTTCTCTTAATCTCTTAAAATGGGAAGCCAAGGTAAAACCCTAATTCAACAATGGGAGCACGACCAAGGGTAAAAGTCAAATCTCAAAACAATATAGGATAGCACAATGTCTTACACCAAGCATTCAAACTTGGGGCGTGCCACCCCTTGAGTCTTATTTGGGGCATGGAACCCCTTTGATCTAGGTTTTAGAGAAGGGGAGAGAGAGAGAGAGAAAAAAAGTAGAGACGAGTAGTGTGGAGCTCTAAAGAGGATGGAGAGAGCGAGAGAGGGCTAGGTCATGTGTAAGAGACGCCACCCCAAGGGGGATATTTATAGAACAAAATTAGTGTTTTTGGGGCTAGGGTTGGTCATTATAAAGAAATTCAATCTTGACCATCGATCTAAAGAGATCTGTGGGGTGAAGAAGGATTTCAATCTCAGCAATCATTTTCCTAAATTCAGCCATTATGATTAAAGGGAAATTTCTAGAGCCCCTCAATTGGCCCATTCCCGTTGTATATCTGATTTTAAGAAATTATATTCTATCTTTCTTAAAATCTCAAGTTATGAAATAGGTTGCCATAAAAATACAAAATCATCCCTTTCTCTCGATAGCCAAAACTTAATCAAATATTCTTAAAATAATCTGGTCTTCTTCTAGATGACTTGTCAACCAAGAAAGAGAAAACCAGAGAGAAAGAGGTGGGGCATGGATGTCACTTGGACCCCACGCCCCTACTAAGGTGGGCTATCCATGGGTGGGCCCCACTGAAAATCGCCCCCACATGCCCCCCAATTTTATAAAGCCCTTGGCAAAATTTAAATGAGAAACAGGTATTTTTAAATTGCTTTGCAACTTGAAAACCTAAAAATCAATTTTTAGGCTAGAAAAAATTCATTTTGAGAAAATAAAATAGATAGCACATTTTAAAAATTCATTTTAATGTTCCATAATTCAAATAAAATATAATTAAATATGATCAAGTGGGAATTAGATCCATCGAGTCAAGAAATATGCAAATTAACTGAGGCAATCCACCTATTCTAGCAATTGTTAACTACGGTCATCTTCTCAAACCAATCCAACATAACCCATGCCCTACAATCTATAGCAGGGGCTCATGATTGGTCCATCAAAGTTGGCCAATAAATGAAATGAATATAGTTTTAGTATGTGGATTACAGGTCTCCCCTAAGGACGAGCCATATCCATTTGGACATATAATATCGCAATGGTACAAGGGTTCCTGTCTTATGCACATGTACACATTACACCCCTGTGGGTTGCTTCCTAAACACGCTATCGCCAGTACATGTTGTGTGACGTAAATGATAAGGATTTGGCCCTTACCCTCTCAGGCCTGCCAACTCACACATGAATTATGAAGTCCCCTGGTCAACAAACCACCTTGGGCATTTCTCCGACCTCATCAAGGACGAACCCTACAAAACCTCTATGGTTGTTCATATGCCCAGGCTACAAGGTTTTCAGATTCCATCGTAGGCCTAGCATGTCAAACCTGGGTGACTCACGGCATCACAAAACATGCCTCATTGGTCCCACCGGACCCTACTCCCACTGGAGTCATCATATCTGTAGTCATAGTTTTACATGCTATCATAAGGGCTTTAAATGACCACAAAACCCCAACAAACTTCTGATGTGCAATCATTCATAATTTTCAGAATAACAACATTATTACCATATCCTTTGATCATTAAAATAAATTGCTTCACTCATCTTTCAAGGAAAAAAAAGGTGCTACAACGATATCTAAAATTTGTAACTTTAATTCAGCATAATGCAACTCCAAGTTCCAAGTTGTTAAAAGGAATCAGGTCACAAACTCGGGAAAAGAATGGAAGCAGAGAATATATCAATAATATTGATACTTGAAACTAGGTTATGCAATCTAAAGATCGTTTCTCACTCATTACAAATTTCTAAATCAGGGGAACACTTTTGATCAATTTCCAATTGAATTAAAAGTACCACCTGCAGAAAATCAAGAGCATATCCTCCAATAACCAAATTATCAAGCTAAATGGTAGACCACCGCCTAATATCAAGAGGACATTCCTTATTTTCAGTGCATTACTGAAGTAGAGACATTTAATTGCCTATAATTACGTATGTATCTTACATTGCCACAGCCAGCAGTCCCTTCCAACATCATGAAATAGTTCAGTGCAATATCATGATGTCCAATATTAGCTAAAGATTCAGCAACTTCGAGTGTCAACTCAGAAAGATCTTTAACACGCTCCTTTTGCAGAATCCCAAAATGCTCCTGAAATCGATCCAAAATGTTTCATATGTAAGCAAATCAACCACTAAGTTTTAACAAAATGAGGAATCATAGAATGAATGCAATTTGCATCCAACTTAAAATGCATATGCATACATGTCCACCTCACATCAACATGCATCAAAACAAACATTTGCAAGAAGCATGCACGAGGACATGCATGTGTACCAAAAGATGGATCACAAACTAAACAGAAGTTGATGGAACATACAATACTGTCCAGGAGAATATGCATTATTCATAGCAAAAACTCAGAAAGAAAATTGACAAAAAAAACGGTTACTGGATAAGTAAAAAGATAAAACTAAGTCAGAGAAACCAATACAAACCTCTGCTTTTTCCATGTGTCCGAGGTATGCTTCACAAATTCCAGCCTTGACAATTAAATCACATGGCAAAACCTTGCCAGAGCAGTAAACCACCTTTGCAGCCTCAATATGTTTAAGTGCTTTCAAGTAGTCCTTGTTTTCCATATTCAGAGCTGCTACCGATCTAACTACAGTCAAATCAGCATCTTCCGGATGCTCTTTAATAAAGTTTTCCAGAATACTGATAGCCCTTTCAACCTGGCCACAACTGTGATACATCTGAATAAAACCAAAAATATAACTCAGCCTGGTCATTATGCAGAGGCAGATTCCAACAATCTAGTAGACAACCATCAGGCAAAAAGGTATATTGGTTACTATTTAGTAGATAATCATCACGAGCAAACAGTGATACATCAAAAGACCAAAGAGCACACATGTATCACCACAGATCCTACCACTGTTCTTCTATAACAAAAAACAAAGTTGGATCTGGAATAATGGATGAAAAATGAGTACTCTTTCCACCAAGGATCAACACAGAGACAAGAGGAACATACCAATCATAAAAAAAGCCGGAGTAAGAAAGGAAACTCAGAACAAGATTGGCTTCTAACAGAGAAAAGTGATCTCAAGGAATCTCTAGAAAATTGTATATAACTTGCGGAACATTAAGATTCATTCTTGACATAGTTAAAATAACCAGTTTCAAATATTAAACAACAAAAACGAAATAAAAAACTCCATATTCTCAATATGAATTTGAAGTGGAGTTTGATCTCATAAATATGGAGACGTAAAATTGAAAATGCATAATATTTTATGAGATTCAAGACGATTGCCAAGGCATACATGACAGTTGAGGCGACCACAAAATCCCATATGAAATGAGAAAAATTAAATCAGACGTTGAATAAAATCACTAATAACGACAAGAAAGTAAACAAAGTAAAGCAGGCATAAGTAACACACAAGAAAAAAAATTGACACAGCAGTTTACAAGCAATAGTTGCATATACATAGACTTTATGGTCCATATCACCAAACCACCGTTAGTTATAAATAAATATTAAGACTGGTCCTGATAAAATATAGAAGAAATAACTACTATCAATGACAATGATCCATTGCCATAGTACACTTCCTAAGTTGCATTGATATACATTGAGACAAGAAACATGCATTTGCTAATATTCCATAGAGGGGATTCAAATCCTTAAATGCAAAAGTTGAGGATGACAGTTATTTCTGCATAAATAATCCACCTAACTTCTGAAGTTATTTGGGTGTGTGACTTCCCCTTCTACATCTTACACCACCTTTGTTTCTGATGCATACTACTTCCATTATGTAAAAGCTTGCTAGTCATGGATCAAACATCTTGCTCACTCTGTCTTCACTTGATGGAAGCGTCACTAATTAAGCAACCCATCAACATAAAATACAAATGAACCTAAACTAAATAAAGGAGAACATCATAAGGAACACCAAAAATCAGGGGAAAGCCAGAAAGGAACATTCAAATGTGAGCTTTTGTTGAAGGCATATATTTTCCAAGTACTGCTCACGACTTAGACAGGAGACGAGTAAGGACAACTAATAATAATAAAGACAAAGATTCAAAGATAAAATTTCAGATGGAGCATAGCTAGAAATATTAAATAAACAGAATTTCTTTCTTTTTGGTTTAACCGTGCAATAGAACATGCTTAAAACCATTAAATTGCAAAACAACTCATCATGGAAATTAATCCCCAAATAGCTAAAGCCAGGAAAGGCCTTCACAAAGCAGAAAGAGAGAACCTCTGCAGCCAATTTGCATGCCTCGACATTTCCAGGACAGAGCTTTAGTATTCGATCATATGATTCTGCTGCTTTTGGATAATCCCCAAGTTCACTATAATGTGAAGCAAGAAGAAATGCAAGGCTCAAATCTTCCGGATTTGCCTTTATTGCTCTACTAAAACAATAATTCACCTGCACCATGTCTCCAAGTTCCCTGCATTCAAAGCAGCATATAAATGAAGTGAAGGAGACACTATTGTCAACTCCAAAAGGATAAAGGTCATGAATATCAATACATGAAGTTAATGAACTAAAGCTTGGGAATACCAATAAGGGCATGAATACCGCTGAGCATGCAAAGTAGAAGCAGTAAACACTTTCATGTCTGGACAAGTCCAAATAAAATAGAATTAATAATGCCAGCTAAATGCTTTTGTGACCATGAAGATATAGGTAATGACTCAGAAAAGGCTGTGACATCAAGAAGCAGCAAATTCTATTTTCTGTGTACCATTTGGAAAGGAAGATGACCATTCGTATAGAAACACCATCTTAAAAAAGAGACAACTATGTCAGGAAGGATGATTTGTCAAACTCTTTTGTATATGAAATTTATTTAAACTGGGAAAAGAAGGGCCGCATCTGAACAACAAAAAGGATAGAATAGCATATCAACTAAAATTGCATCTGAATTGAATGAACCTATATCTTACTGAACTTAGACACCAGATCAAACTTCTTTTTACATTAGTGCAGCCAAAAGAGATACTACTTATCTGCATTCAATAGTTGTATGCATGAGTATAACACTATAACATAAATAATTCTATTTTTTTAAATATGATGGGACATATTGCACAGTTACCTTATCATGGTAAGGATCTTTTATTGTTTTGATATCCATTCATAAAGAAAGCAAAAGGCGGGTTTCCGCTGATAACTGAATAGTGTAGTGTTCGGGTAAACAAAGCCCTAGCTTCTAGAGTTTGCCGCTTTTCCTAGGCCGGAGAAGCAACTTTCAATCATTTATCATGACCAATATCAGTATATTTTGGACGAAGGTCAACCTGTATTGTCGAAAAACATCCTATTCTCCATGATCAGTTTCATGTAAGCATATCACCATACCCACATAACAAAACCCTATAAGTTCAAAAGGAATAGCATTCCAAAGCAATGTCCGAAAAATTGCCAATCCGAATCAGAATTGCCCGATCCGGATATGGATTCATCCTGCCCATTCCAAATCATGTAATATATTGGGATCCGGCGGTGTCCCCCACCACCCCCCCTGGAATAGCCAATTCCCACAATTCTCTACAGAGGAATCGCCTATTCCAACGGTACAATGACCAATGACCCTTTCTCATGTTACAGTGAACCTATGAGTCTTTTCATTACCTTGTTTTTATTTTTTTTATTTTTTTATTTACTTTTTGGATTTTTTAGAGAATTACTGGATCATAATAATTGAAAGATGTCAATAAAAACAGTGTTGGTTTGAAAAACACATCTCCAAATTTTGCATTTCGATTTGGTAATTCAAAACTGGGTCTTTTTCACATTTTTGAGAAAATTTTCCATTTCTTCGATTATATGTTTGATTTCTAGGAAAGGGGCTAGGGTCGTGGTGGTAGCGTCCCCACACCCAATTACCACATCATGGTATCCATTCCTAACACTGACACCCCCAATTAACACCTTCAAAATGTAACTCTCTAATCTATTGAAAAAACGGTTAGGGGCCTGTCTTACCCACTGAATTACCCAAAAAAAATATATATATGTTTGATTTCGATCCAAATCATATTTTTTTGGTTCAAATCAAATATCGTTGAATCCTCCAAACAAATGCGCTAATCTTCATGATCAAATGAAGATTGTGCATCAATTTTGCATCGAAATGCTAGGGTTCAAGAAACTTTCACATACACGAAAATTGGAGAGGACGGCCTGATTTCTGTGGATTTCGATCAAATCTCAGTAGAGTTTCTGATCTATAGAGCCTTAATCTTAGCATAAATCAGGTAAGTATTTTTTTCAGTTCGTATATTTTCTTGTACATTTTTTTTTACTTGAATGTTCTGCAACCTTTAGGGTTTCGCCATTTTGATCAGTTTCTCCTCAAATTTAAATCAAAATACTTGAAATTTGATTCAAAATGATCCTAATGGGACTATTTCATATTAAATATTCAAATTGGATATAAAAAAAAATGAATTTTGGGTAAAATGAGTATCAGTTTTGGATTTTTGCTAAATCACTTTTTTAATTTAATATTTTACTTAATAAAATTAGGGGTTTTGATCCATATAGGTTCTCCATGCATGTAATGTGTGAATAAGTATTTGGTCATTTTTTTTATAATTAAACCGAATTTTATGTATATATTTCCAATTTTCAGGGAAAAATCATTTCTCTTAAGATTTTGTTTTAATATTGTAAGCTGGAAATTTATAAGGGCCTTCCTTAAAAAAAAAGAAAATCTTATAATATGAAAGTAACTTTTTATTATTTTTTAGATCATGATGCAATATTATAATTTTATAGTAATAATATTGGTGGATTGAATAGCACAATTTTTTATATAATTAAATTCATGAGACGAAATTCCAATATGCATTTGGGGTAATTTTAATTCTTTTATCTTTGTTCAGAGAAATCAGAAATTTGGTCTAGACTCTTATTGTGAAGTCCATTTGGTTCAATCACCATAGTTATTTCGATATCAAGAACACTTTTTATAATTTTATTTTTTTATAGTTTCCTGTTAATTGGTTTGAGTTGGACAAAGCACACATATTCTCATTGTTTTTCATTTTTTATTGTTTAGCGAGTGTTCCTAAACCCTTGCCCCATTGTGTGCTAAACCTAGATTTTGGGCAAAGAACCCCTCCGAACCCCAAATTCAAATATTTTACAGATAAGGATTTTATTATAGTCAAATTGGCACATATTATACAGATATTAGCATTGGCAACTACAATGAATTGTCAAGACGATTTAATGAGTGGAACCAACATGATACAGGGGAAGAACGATACCATCCTTCATTTTGGTATTCGATTGTATTTCAGCTGTCGTATGCTCTATTTTGGATCATGTATTGATACTCATGATGATTGTAATCTCTTTTTCTCAGTAATGTGAATAGAATGGTTAACAGACATCCAAACAGGGAAACTGTATCTTAATATCCATGGAGTGCAAAATAATGAAAGTACATAGTACACTACCGTCAAATGTTTTTGGAAACTCAAAAAACATCATTTTAAAGGGATTTTTTGACACGTTTTTGGGCCGACCGGATTGCCGATCCACTGATATGACATGGTTTTGGGGTGGCCAATCTGGGTCAACAATCCATTTTTTTAAACCTTGTTCCAAAGTCACATCCAATTCAATCATTCAGAATGCCGTAAAATAGTATCTTATTCTCTATACCAGAGAGATTTCTTATTATCTCAAAATCAGCACTTAAGGATCCCATTTTTTCCTTTCTTTTTCTTGGTTATGTTTTTCTTTGTTCAGAGTTGCGGACAGACCAATTGAACCTGACAAACCCATACCATTTTATTGTTGTGAACCCTATCATCAATATTTTTTTTAGTTAGGGACAAAGTGTACAAACAAGTTGCCAAGCATCCAATATTAACTGGAGAAGAGAACATCCCAAGTCATTAAGTACCAAAGTCTAAATAGCCTTAGGAAGGTAACATCAACAGTACCTTCCCAGCAATGTTGCATTGAATAACTTGTAAAATTCTATTCTTAAAACCACCATGAATTTTTTATTAATTACCCAATTTTCATAGTTAGCAGGACCTCTGAAATCTAAACTGCAACAAATGGCTTGCAGCATCTAAACCATGCACCTTATATTTTCTTGTTTTTTACCTTGAAATGAGGGAAAAGTCTAAACCTTATAAAGAGAAATTAATGCCCATGAATAAGCACGAGCAATGTCAAAAAAAGAAAGCACGAGGTGCCACCTAGGTGGCCAGATGGGGTCAGGTGCCTAGGCATGATGCCATGCATGCACTCACATATGCATGTGCGCACACACACAGGATTAGGGGGGACCATCAGCTGAGGCGCAATGCTCCAAGCCAGGCACAGGCCACAATGAGCCAGCCTACGAGCCCACCTAGAGGCAGGCTGCCAAGGAGGTCTACATTGGTCTGCATCTGCGATACTGTTTGTCATTTAAAACTAAATCCCATCCCAAGAGGAACAGGTTGGGTGACCTGTGCGCACATGAACAATTCTTATTTGTATGAACTAGCCCTCTAATTGAAAATATTCCTATTTACGTTTTGAGCATTTTGTGTGTTTTGGTTTTATATATGTTAATCACACGACAGTAGACCAGTAAATAATAATCGTAACTTTGAAGAAGAGGAAATTAAGCATCTGTAGGGGCCCCAAAATGTCTCAAAATAATAATGCAAAATAAGAGGAAATTAATATATCAATATAACACAATCCTAATATATCAATATAACCAGCATTCTAAAAAGAAGAGGAAATTAAGCATATGTAGGGACCCCAAAATGTCTCAAAATAATTTGCAAACAAGATGAACTTTTTTTCTTTTCTTTTTTTTTTAAATAGTTAATCTCTATGAACTTCTTATCCAAGATAAATGCAAGGACCTAAGTCCAGCATGATCAAAATAAGGTAGGCTAAAACATAGAAGGAAGAGCTAAGTTCATGCAGTAATTACAAAATAAGCCCAAAAAAAAAAAAGTATGTACTATACCACTGTACAAATTACAATAAGGACCGCCTCTCATAAAGAAGGAAAATATTTTCTTTCTTTAAGTACTTCAACCTGACAAGTATTGACAAACCTTTAAACTTACTTGGACAGAGTTATGAGGCATTCCCATAGCTTGGGATTCTTGGGAGTTAAATACGCAGCAAGACTGTAGAAGTTTTTTGCTCTTTTCTTATCCCCGCGGTCGTTGTAAATGATACCAAGAGTAATGTAAGAATCTGCCACACTAGGAGCAAGCCGCACAATTTCAGTCAACAAACTTACTGCCTGCAACTCAAAGCCATACGAATTAGATAATTAGCAACTAAATAAGTAGGAGCTGTTCACAACCCAAGAGGAATATCCAGATAAGCACTTCAGCAAATGCTTATTTTAAAAAGCCTCTAAAGCAAGGATGATGTACCATGACGCATAGCATATAAACAATGTCAATAATGTACCCTCAACCATTGGTCTCAGATGTTTCTCTGCTTTGACAAAGAATAAACCATTTCAGCCATCTGCCACTGATAACAATGGTTGAGGATACATATAGCATATGCTATATGTACATGGGCTATCTTCCCTAATTCAGAATTTGAGGAGATTTAAAACATGATAAAGATGCAATTATCTATCTGTTCAAGTGAATTGCACACTCAAACAAGAAAGCAAGTTTTCTAATAATCATATACATTTTTCAAAATTTAATTTTAGGACATATTAGATTAAAGAAAACACCCTCAAAACTTGAACGTAAAAATATGAGGTTCTCCAGGCTTCCTATTCACTACATAATGCAACATAAGACTACAGATTTTGTTGCACAAAGTATGTCGAGATTGGTAGCACCTGAAAGTTTCGGCATTTCTGAATCAAGTATTCCATTCTTCATTTAGAACATATTTTCTCACTAGTCTCTGTTAGCATATGCAACAAGTCATAGTAAAGGAAAGTTGTACAAGACATAAAAAAGCTTGTAAAATCTCCTCAAGGTGAAAATCAAAAAACTGTTATGTTAACTCATTTTGGAAGACATGAGATGTATAAAGTGTACAACTGGATTCAAAGCTTCCCTGTGCAAAGCACAAAACAGAAGTTTCATAAGGCAAGATCCTCTTTTATGTCCAATAGTAAATTCACCCAATACGGTTTTATTATCACATGAGTGCAATAATTAATTCATTGTGTGATAGGAAGGGGCCAGCAAAACAGATGAATGGCTGTGTGATCATCTTTGTCTTGGTCCTTTTAGATTAGAACATTAGTGTCTTATGATAAGATCGGTATATCTGTTCCTAGAACACTGAGTGTAGATTCCAGTATCAACATTTTTCTCTAGTTTAGAATGCAATTGGAGATGGAGAAGGAAAACAAATAAGTGTGACCAAATTGAAACAATAGTTTCACCTCATCGTAGCGGCCAAATGTATAATGGATATTAGCATCCATAATTTTCCTCGTCACTTCTGGGCTAAGTTTTTTCTTTGAGCCCTTCTTCCGTCCCCTCTTCTTAGGCTGCACTCAGAAGGAACCAAACAGAGAGGGTCAATGGGGATCTATGTAGATAAGTTACCTTTATGTTATTAGCGTCACTGACTCATGTGCAATTGTGCCAACATTACTCACATGAAGCTCCACCAAAGTCTCTGTAAAAACCAAGAAAAAAATTGCAAAATATAAATCAAAGATAAGGACCATACTTCAGAGGATTTCCGGCCTGAACCATAACGCATCACTTCCTCAATTTCTTCAATATTTGCACCAAATAGGTTCTCTTGTCTAGGCCTCTTACTAGACTCACCGCTGTTCCAAATAAACTCCAATATTTAAAATTTAATCTAAATAAAAATATAACTCATTTATCCTAAGAATCAATTAGCATAAGTGAACTGGCATATAATCTACCACATGGAAAGCAGGTTCTACTCATAGACACTGTTAATTGAGAGCAAATAAGATTATGCAAAACAACATAACCAAGCATGTTAACATGCAATAAAAACAAATTATATCAACCTATCTAGTCGCTCTCAACAATGGAGCACATTATGAGCGCAAAAGCAAGATAAAATCCTCACGTGGAGCAATTTGACAATAAAATATAAGAAAACCTACAAGTACATTGGAAAAATATTGATAACCATGGAATCTTCGCAGAGAGAGAATGCGAGAGAGAGAGAGAGAGAGAGTTGCCAAAAAACTTGCAACAATATGATTTTGCATAATATTTATCTCTTATTTTTTCAGTCACTAGCACTTGCCATTGTTTCTTTGTGGTTCTTGTGTGCTATATTGCTGTGTAGAGGATGACCTGACAAGTATTACTTTAATCTTTTGGTAGTTAACACTAAACAAATAAAATAAAAAATCAATGCAGATATTCGTAGCAGGTACTCGACTCAAGCAGTGTGTGAAAAACTAAACTAATGGGTCGAATTGGTCACCCACCAGTTTTGAGCTGGCAGGGGGGCCTTAGATCCGGACACGTACCCACAGGTTCCAAGCCTGTTTGGATGGTTCAGCTGGCTCGGCAATTTCAAAACACTAGTTTCGGGCTTGGAAGAAAGATTCATAGTATTTACACTGTCTCTTCTTGAATTGAACTACATAGCCTTCTATGCAAACCATATTTTATCAAGCTCAGTGTATAGTAGTTCAAGTGCGCAAGGATCTTCAGAGCTACCACATAAAAACTATAAAACTCATGGGTCTAATATGCAAATAAATTATCCCATGAATGTTGCAACCAGAGCTCCACATTACTCAGTATAACAACAATCTAAAAACTTTGAAGTAACAAATTCAGTGCCTATAAAAGTCAAAATTCATTTTCAATGTGAAATTGTGATTACCTACTATCAGTGATTCCCTTGCGCTTGCGCTCAGCCAAGGCTTCATACTCAAGCCTCTCAAACTTCTCAAATGTCTCGATTACTGATTCATTGGCATCAGCAAACCCTAGAGGATCCATATCCCCTTCGAATAAAGCAAAGCATTCATCTTCCTCTTCTTCAACGTCTTCGTCATTGACCTCGTCTTCATTAATAGATTCTTCGTTGGCGGATTCATCATTAATGCCTTCATTGATCTCTTCTTCTACAACTGAGGCTTCCATATCCTCGGAAAGACTCCGAGGTGCCTCTGCTTCTTCCATATTTGGAGATTAGCAAATAATTATACAAGAGAAAACTTAATAACTTGATCAATAATTTATTCCTTTGACGAGCTCGAGTACCCTCTCAGAACCACTGCCCTGTGAATATTACCGAATTTGAGATTTTTTACCTTAAAAGCTCGAAATCAGAGAGAATTCGCATAAAACTCTTTACAGTTTGCCTTCAAAACTTAAATTGGCCATAATTAACAGAAATATCAGCAAAAACACGGTGGAATTCTGTAATCAGTTGTTCCTTTGAATTCTTGAAGCAACCATTGACATACAGAAATTTGACAAAAAAAACCTGTCAATTCTCCGTGATTCAGGTTCCTTCAAGAGCTCAAATCCACCATTTGCAAACAGAAATATATGGAAAAAAAATGCAATATTCATTTCTCTGCAAATTCCATCCAGAGCTCAATCCACCATCACAAAAGCAAGTGCTCCCCGCAAAGTTGCTAAAGGAGAGTTCGATAACCTTAAGAATTGCAGAGTGTTCTGGAAAAAAAAACCTTGGAATTGTACGAGATTTCACTAAGGGGAAGAAACTGTAGAGAGACAGAGAGAGCGAGAGAGAGAGCAAAGTTGATTCACAGAAATTGCAGACAGTTCTCAAAGAAACCTAGGAATCGTACGAGTTTTCGGCAGCGGGAAAAAACTACAGAGGGGCAATGAGAGAGACAGGGGGTTTGTTTACTAAAATACCCCTTTTCCTTTTCATGATCCCGCCAGAGCATTACTCGCGGGAAAATCCTAGAGGCTTTTTTTAGGATCCAAAATTTGATAGATGTAACATTGGCCTCAATAAAATAAGAAAAAGTATTTGTTGAGTTGGCCGACTCATTTATTCTCGTGCGGTCTTCATTTGAAATATATATCAAATATGTATTTCCGATTCAAAAATTTAGAATTCGATAATCTCAACCAGGACAATGATCTAATTTGGAATTTTTCTCAAAACTTATAAATATTATCTTATGAATTCCTTTTTCTACTATCCATTTTTTTACTTTTTCGTCAATGTAATATTTTGTGAGATCCATTTTAGATAAGGATATTTGATAGACAAGGGACCATACTGTAATAGGTGAATCAGCTGCCTCACCAAAGCCGTGGCACCCAATAACATCTCAATATGAAACAGATGCCATCCAATTTTTTGAGGGTGAGATCTAATAGTTAAAAAAGCTTTAAATTTCAATTTTTCCTTTTTAAAATATTATTCCAGTGCTTCTTAGGTGGTTTTTAAAATTTTAGATTGAGAAAATCATCCGAAGTAAATATTCTATATAAGGAAGTAGGTGCTATCAATTTATTCAAAGTTTATATATTTTTCCTATTTTTTATAGGTCTCAAGCACTCAGATTTTATAATTAACAAGTTAAAAGTGGTTGTGACCCTCTTATACCTAATGTAAATAGTACTTGCAATCTCATTTTTTTATTATTAAACGATTTTTATGTTTCAGGCCATTTTTTTATTGTCAAAAGATTTTTATGTTTCAGGAAACTTATAGCACATGATCCATTTACCCTCTGAAATAAATACTGAGGGCGCATTTGATAATGGGAAGTTATGATTTCTGATATGATCCATTTACTCTTAAATAAATACTGAGGGCGCATTTGATAATGGGAAGTTATGATTTCTGATGCTACGGCTTCTTGTTGCAATAGTACTCCTCGTGTTTGAAAGCCACCACTTCTCATGGCTTCCAAAATAGTGTTAACAAAATGAAAGTCGCGGCTTCCATCTTTGTAACTAGAAGCTGCTACTTTGGAAATTGGTGGAAGATGTAAAGCCGCATTCCAATCAAATGTGGCCTTAGGGCCTATTCGATAAATGGAAATTGAAAGTTCCATGAAAATTGGATTTTTTGACTTCTTGAAACTGGATATTTTTTATGTTTATAATCGACAGAAGTTGTGTTTGATAACCTGTCTAGATTTTAGGAAGTCTGGAAACATGTATTTGATTGAACTTGAGAATTTAGAGACATGGAGACATGAAAATGATTTAGTTTTAAGTACTCATTAAATGTTTCATCATGAGATAGTGATATTTGTCCTATGTGACCAAGATTTTAAAATCATAGGTCATCCACAGTATATAAGATATAATGTATGGTATAGATCATTGAAATAAAAAAATTAAAAAGTTGTATTTTCATTGAATTATATGCAATCTATTCACTGATTTATTCGGAATCCATGTAATCTTTTGTAGTGTAGCTTATCGATGATAGAGCAAACTATTTCTTTATTTGAAAATAAATAATTTGAATATCTAGTCCTTATTTTGTTTTAGAAAGGTAGTCCAAGGACATTGATTCCAAATCTTAATATTGTATTGTGAAACTTCTATCCAATTTTTCATTTTCCCAGTGAAAATGAGTGTAGTTCACTATAGCATAAGGATTAAAGCTACACATAAGTCTACTAAAAATACTGGTCAATTTTTAAAGGCTAGATCTAGATGTCATAAAACTCAAAATTCAAGTTTTTTCTTTTAAAAATAATCATCAAGTTATTTCTATATGCTACAAAAATTTAGACTAAAAAATCAATGTGGCTAGGTGTTTCGATCAAGGGAGTAGATGCGTAATATCCTCCTATGGAGGATATATTGGCGGGGACAAGTACCTTTCTTTTTTCTTTTCTTTTTTTATTTTTTATTTTTTATTTTTTTGTGTTTTTTATTTCTTCGTTTCTTGACATTACAGATGTGGGAGGGAAGGAAAGGCCGGGCCAAGGCAAGGTGTGCGGGCATAATTTAAAGAAAAAATTCCCGTAATAAATAGAGCAAATTATATATGGACCTTATTTGGGGGGTCAGGGGTCATTTGCCTAATATTACGAGCATCACCCCCTACCTTTGCGGCATTATTTTTCTTAAGTTGCTCCTGTGTCGGACAAGTTTTTTTTTTTTTTTGGAATCACCAATGTTGTCCAGCATTTGTATTGCCAGATAGCACTTTATCCCGCTTCTCTCTCACCAACTCTTATTTGGATATGGATTCTGGCCACTTTGATCAAGATGTTGAGACTCCAGTCGATGAGACTTTCCAGCAGCTAAAAACTGGTTTCACTGAGGATGAGAAGTAATTGAAGGACCAACTGGAGTCAAGAATTCTTTGGATATGACATCTAACTCCTATGATCATGTTGGAAAGGTCGGGATAACTGAAAATGGTTGCTTCGATGCCATTGAGTATTTAGAAATATGGGAGATCTCAAAAAAGCAGGAAGTTCAGTACATTGAGGATGAAAAGTGTATTAAAGATGAACCAGTTGTAGAGCAAAAGATTTCCAGCAGAGAGCTTGAAAATGGAAGTAATGAAAATGCTTCTTTCTTGAATTTAGAATCTGATTATAATTTTGGTAAAGAGACTGTTGATTCAAAAGTTAACGATTTCAGAGACTAAGATAAGGAATATTTGAAAATGGTTTTTGGCTATGACATTGCAAAGATGAATGATAATGTCGCTGTTGAAGAATTAAATAGGGGTGCGGGTGAGTTTATTAGCAAAATTCCCAACGAGTTTTCAAGTGTCCATGAAACTTCTCTGTAACCTGATACTTGTGATTTAGAAAGAGAAGACACGACCAACCGAACTCACAATTTGGCCGATGAAAATGTTTTGGAGCCTCACCAGGTCAAAGACAACGCCACTCTCCAGCAAGTTTCTTGAGGGCAAAGAGAAGCCATCAGAGAGTATGGATGAAAACCAACGGCTCAAAAATAAGTGCAATAGGGGTCGTGGTCTGAAAACAATGGCTATATAGGAATAAACTCACATGACTATCAGATCTTGGCAGTTTCATTGAACTGCTTTATAATTATAATGCTCCATTGTTCTTCTTAGTTTCATGAACTACTCTATCGAAGAATATATCAGTGGACTGTATTTTAGAATTATGGAGTATGATGCTAAAGGTCATACCTGCGCTCACACTCTAATTGATCTTTTTATGCTTTTTTTTTTCTTTTTTTTTTTGGAGAATTCAGTAGGGATGACGAGCTCCTACTCATTTTTTAAATACTCAGTGTTTTTTTAATACGTTAGGTGAGAATGGAAACCTAGACCTTAGTTGTTTACAAGTGGTATTTTTACCTCTATTTCTTGAATTTATCGCTATTATTTTGTATTTTTCATATTGGTTGTTTGCATAAAGTGAAAAATCGTAATGAATATTTTTTGTTTCGCTCTCTATTTTGTTTCTCTTTAAAATGACAGGAAGAGATGGCTCGCTAGTTTTGGATATAGCACATTGTGCGGTATTTAAAATACCGGACAACAAAGAACTAAAAAAAACTGCTAGTTTTGGAGATAGCACATTGTGCGGTATTTGGAATACCGGGCAACAAAGAACTAAATAAAAAACTAAGAAAGAATAGCTCCCTGTCTAGTGTTTTTTGCCAGATGGACAAGGGCAAACTTAGCGAAGAAAAAAGCCACGGGGAGGGGGGTGGTGCTCGTATTATTGAGCATATTGGACACACAACGGTAATAGACCCAATATTGTCAATAGGTAATTTGCATATAAAATAAAAAAGGATTAAAACAATTAAAAGCCAATTAACCCATGATTGAGTACAAAAGTTATACAACTTAAGAATTAAAACTCTTAAACATTGTTTACTATGTACCACAATTTCATACATATTAAAATCCATACATGATTAACTCAATTTATGAATGTTCCATGTAGTCATTGGGACACATCATCTTCAATACATACATAGTTGATCAATCACTGTACATATAACCACATAAATCACAAATAAAAATCACCAAAATATACCCCAAGAGTTATTTTGATAAACTACAACAATCATAGTCATGAAAACTTTTATTTCGCAAAGTTCCAGAGATCAATCTCATTCCGCAATGGAGCCGGATTGATCGTGTTGCTCGCTGCATTTGCATCCGAGTATCTCATTGCCTTCGACGAATCCTCACCGCTCAAATGGGAGCCTACAAGGAGAGCAGACCAGTCATTCAAATTATCCTCTCTCATCTCCACCATCTCCTGTGGAGCCCCACATTGAGCCATGTTCATGTTCATGCCATTGTCACAAGCTTGATAACTCAAATTTTTTGAGAAACTTTCCCCTTCGCACGGCCTTTGAATCTGCAAAAATGGCTTAGCAATGGTCTCTGAGGATGCCGACAATCCTGAGAAGTCGTAGCCGAGAGGTGGCCTTTGGCTCTGGATCTGTGCTTGGACCTGCATTTGCAAATCATGGCTTGGGTTCATGTTGGTGAATTGGAGGCCAAGCTCAGGGGGCTTGTAGAGATCAAAGGCAGGTTGGTTGTGGTGGTGCAGGTGGTGATTGTATTGGAGCCCCCTGTGGCTTCCTTCTCTCTCTACACTTTCTCTGTCTACACCATGATTCATTATGTTGCTGCTTTCTTGCTCCATGCTTAGGCTTGTGCTTGCTTCTTGGGGAACTTTGAAGAAGTTCTTTTTCTTGAAAACTCTGCACACCACCCAACCGTCTTCCTTCAAGGGCCAAAGAGACAGTGTCAGGCCAAAGAGACAGTGTTGCACTAATGGTTTTTAAAGAGAAATCTTTGAGAGAAAAGAACAGAGAGAGAGAGAGAGACGCTGTGCATTTGCATATTTGCAACCAGTTTAAAATGTAGAAAACGACCTTAGGCATTCTTATAAGACAAACAATAAATTTCATGGTTGTTTGGTGCATAGTGCAAACAGTTAAAAAACCTATCCTAGAGAGAGAGGGGGGGGCGGGGGAAAGAAGGCAAGGGAGAGTGACAACGGGTTTGGTCGGGTCTGGCTGGACCCGGACCCAGATAAAATAAAGGGACCCGACCTGATTGGACCTGGACCCAACCCAAAAGTAAGAGAAATATATTCAAATCCAGGTTTTGAACTTGGACCCGACCTTTTGAGTTAAAAATTTGGATCCATACTCATAATGGAGCTCAGGTTAGGTCCTGGGTTTGGTTGGGTCCATTACCACCACTACCACTACTAATGTCTTATTTTCTCAAAAAAAGAGAGAGAGAGGGGGGTGAGAAAGACTTTCAATAGAAAAAGGCACTATTTTCTTATTTTGTAGAGAGAGAGAAAGGGACTCACATTGACCTCATTGTTCTCCTCCAACCTGTACTCATGCATGATCCAATCAGTCTTTTGTCCATGAGGAGCTCTCCCTTTGTAAAAAACAAGTGTCTTCCTCATCCCAATCTTCTTATAACTGTTCTTTATGCACTTGTCCCTTCCTGTGGCTTTCCAAAACCCTGCACTTGTGGCCCTGTTTGTCCTTGAACCAGTTGGATACTTCTTGTCCTTGTGACTGAAGAAGTACCATTCATTCTGAGGGGTTGCTCCTATTCTACACCTCTCTGAAAAAGGAACAGGGAAGAAATCAAAGAATGGATCTTCATTAGCCAGAGTAAAATGTTTTCTCTCTCTTAAAGCTTTCCCTTTCTAGTCTTTATTTGTGAATCTCTCTCTCTATCTCTCTCTCTATCTTTTAAGACACGTACGCATATGTTATTTTTTTATATGGGTCATAAATCCCTATCTCATAAGTGAATGAATTTCCATAAGTGAAAGTAAAAGGTTATCTCATTTTTTAAATTACAAACTGATTTTATAAGACAACCTGCGTTGGATGGCCAAAATGAAGGAGAAAAACATAATAGCATAGGGTTGTGTACCAAGAAGATTAGGGTTTTGAGAAAAGTAGGTTCTAATGAAACTCAATTTTTGTGCTTAAGTATATCTTATCTAGTCACTTTTTATAAATAAATAAAGAAAAAAGTTCATATAAGATGTCAACTTCGTACTATTGAAGTATGGCTTGTTTCGATGATGGCAAATCCTCAAATTAGCTATCTAAATCTCAAGATGTATGGATATAAAAAAAAAAATTCATGAAGATGATGCATACGAAGATGCATTATCTAGATCGTCCATTTCAAAAATTTGATTGTTTATAAATCAGCTCAATTTGCATCATTTTTTATATTTAAATTTCATAATTAACAATGACAATAGATTTGGATGCCATCACAAACTTTTCGGAGGCCCTACTTAAATAGTACAAGGTTGACACCTTATACATAGCCAATATACAAATAAAAACTGAATTTGCATAGAAATTTAGAGTAAAATGAGCCATCTCTCTTTCTCTCTGAGGTGGGGAAATATGGTTTGGATTTTACACTGGAATCCCCCTTGGCATGGCATAAACCATCAATCTAAAGGTGGGATGTAAGTGATGGTCCCTTAAAAAAAAAAGGGTAAATTCAATACTTCTAAAACATATATAATTTTAGTTTTAAATTTTTTTTTTAACACATTAATGATCTTCATGTCTACTTATTAAAAATCAGAATAAAAATTGATTTAAAAAATAAATTATCAAGAGGACAGCATTTCTACCTCTCTGTCCAGGCACTCGTATAAACCGTGTCCATGCAAATTTATGATACTGTGAACCCATGCTTAAAGTTTCTTCAAAAACTAAAAGATAAGTTACGTGTAAAGAATCAAATGCCTTGTGAGATGTTTTATTGTAGAAAGAGGTGCTAACCATATTTCTTCTCACAAGACCCCAAAATTCAAAGTTTGCGCAGAGAGAGAGAGAGAGAGAGAGAGCACCTGCATGCCCCCAACACACACATCACCGTCTAGTGAGAGAGAGAGAGAGAGCACCTGCATGCCCCCAACACACACATCACACTCTAGTGAGAAAGAGAGAGCACCTGCATGCCCCCAACACACACATCACCCTCTAGTGAGAGAGAGAGAGAGAGTGCACCTGCATGCCCCCAACACACACACCACCCTCTAGTGAGAGAGAGAGAGACCCAAAACAAGAAGCCAACATTCTCCTCACCTTGCAAGTCCCATGGCTCCATCTTGTTCAAGTCCACTTCCCTTATCACCTCCAAATCAAACTTCTGATAGGTAACCTTCTTCCTCAAATAGTAATACAAGAGCTCCTCATCCGTTGGATGAAACCGGAATCCGGGTGGAACTCCGGCTGATGATGTCATTTTCCGGCAAACGAAAAAAACTGTAAACTCTCTCAAGCACCCTTTCCTCTCTCAAAAAAGCTCTTTCAAGTGTGCTTTTCTCTCTCAACCAACTCTTTCAAGTGACACTTTCTCTCTCAAACCCCTTAAACCTTTCATATATATCTATCGCTTTGTCAAAAAGTTGAAGCCTTAAGCCTAGCCGGAAAAAACGGTAGCATGTAAGTGACTTAAAATCTAAGCAAAAAGCTTAAGACTAAGGGAAATTTCCAATTAAATGGTTAAGACCGAGGAGAATTTGTTTTGAGTTTTTTTTTTGGGAAAAAGTTAATATAAGGTGGGCACCTTATACTGTACGAGTAAGGTGCATCTAAAAAACCCCACCAGAGAAGGTTATTCTTATGTTGGAAAACCCTCTAATCGATCATCTCGACTTCGAGATTCGTAGTTATGAAAAAAGGGGATTTTTAGTCCTAAAAATAGTGGATCTTTTAACATGGACTATCCATTTTTAAGTGTTTATAGATCTGCCTAATCATCACCATTTCTGAAACTTTAAATTTCATAATTGGGAGCAACATTAGATTTTTATATCATCGCAAGGCTTTGCAGCACCGAAATTGCGTTCACAACATAATTTTGAGGTTCGCAAGGCTTTGCGGCACCAAAATTGCATTTTCAGGATAATTTTGAAGTGCACCTTACTTCAATAGTATAAGGTTGACACCCTACACAAACCTCACCCTTCTTTTTTGGTCAATTTCTTATTAATGAGCTTATAAAATAATTGTGAAATGATCCCTAGGAAATAAAAATAAAAATTAATTGGGGGATTTTTGGTTTGTTTCTTAAGTTATGGCTTGGGATCCTCGCTTTTAACCGGCTTAGTACATGAAAGAGAGAAACAAATAATTATTATTTATTAGGAATCTAATTTAGGATTAGATTTTAATTAGGAATGGGAAATAATTGCATTTAAATAATAATAATGGTGGTGTTGCAGCTTGAGGGGCAGCCGTCACGGCTTGAGCTGAGGCATGTGCGAGAGAACTGGTTTGAGATTTAGGAATTGCTGTATTCGTAGTTTTGATTGTAATGGACGCTTTGGAGGTGTTTCATCGTTGAAAATATAAAGTGGGTGCATTTTTTATTGTGCAAGAGGGTTTCACATTTTTAAGTAGTGGAATATTCATGCAATAGAGAGAGAGAGAGTGTAGTAAACTTTTAATTACTAAATCGATGAAAGTGTAGCTATGTTTTTGTAATTGAGAGAGAAATAGTAAGTTATAGTTGCGCCTTGTACTTGAGAGAGAGATTGTATTGAACATAATTATCAAGGTTGGATCAGACCATTTGATCAGGCCAGTTACTGGATTGGAGCTTTGGCTAGTCAAGTCTAAAAAAATATCTAATTTGGTTGAAAATCGATCAAAATAAGCGTTTGACTGATTTGGCAGGTTGGACCAACTAGTTTTAACCGATTCGACTAGCTGAACGAAGTTGACAAACTGTTGTCTAATATAGTTTATATTTTTAAACAACTATTCTTATTTTTTTTATAAACTTTTAAAATTTAGTCCAACTATGATCTTATAATTGAGAGAGAGCAGGTAGTAAACATAGTTATCAAGACCAAACCCAACCATCTGTTATATCGTTTATCGTTTATTGGTGTCTTAGGCAGTCTAATCCAAATCAAAAACCTAATTTAGTAAAAAACCAATCAAAATAAATATTTGACTAGTTTTAACAAAAGAAAAAAGATATTGCAGTAAATTCCAATTAGTAAATAAAAGACATCTAGTTGTTGTCCTATAAGAGAGAGAGAGAACTGCATTTGCTTTACTCGTAACAGAAAATACTCTAAAATAACAAATTATTGAGAGAGAGAGAGAGGTGCATTGTTTTTTACTTGGAACAGTAAATACTAAAGTACAATAGCAATATTATGGTAGTTACATGACAGTTAAACTTTCCGTGCACCCGTTTGATGATGTCATTTGTTACTTGGTGTCGGTAGTTTTTTCATCCTATAAGTTTCTCTCTCTAGAGTGCAACTCAATCATCTATTTTCATGGAAGAAAGATGAATCTTTACCCTTTTCCTTTTCATTTTCATCATTCTCTCTTCTTTATTTTTTCCAATTTCAAGGCATAGAGATAATATTTTATTAAGAACTGAATGGGGAGGATGTATGTGCCATCACATCCACGAGGTTGCTTACACAAGACACAATGACAATTGGGAGGAGATTTTCTTTTGAAAAATAAAACAAATAATTCCTGGTAAACAACTATGTAGCTAGAGGTTACAATAGGTTTAGGTCGACCCCCCAAACCCGATCGGTTCACCGGGCCACGGGCTGGACCTCGACAATGGACTTGATGGATCGATCTAGGTCTGTTTGACTAGACTTTACTTGATTAGGGGTGGCGACGGGTCGGGTATAGTTAAACTTAGACCTGAATATTATTCGGGTCCAGATTTTGGACCCGGAACCAACCTTTCAAATCCAAAATTTAGACCCATACCCGGACCTGAAGTCGGATCTACCGATCAACTCATAACTCATATTGATTGAAGGTAGTCGCTTCTTTACGTGCATTCTGGATGTAGAGTACTCACCGACTTATATGCGGGAAGGAAATCAACTCATAGTATGGCAGTTAGAAACCATGGGCTGCAGTGTTGCACCTCCTCTATACTCAACAGGAAGAAGAAGTGAAGGAGGCCAAGTCCAAACAGAAGTCCATGGCATAGCGAGCAAGATAGCTGGTCCACCTCGGTCTCGGGTATGGTTGGGTCCATTGTGACCTGTAGACCTGACCAGAATTTGTTTTTGGAATCTAGTTATTGGACCAGATGGATAAGAAGTCCAATGTTTGAAAACCCGAATTAGTGTAGCCCTGCCATCTAGGAAATTGGTCGAGATTGGCGCCGAATTGGATTGCCGATCTGGTCGAGAGAATCAACCAATAAAAAAATAAAAAATTTGAAAAAAATAATAAATTAAAAATAATAAAAAATAAAATAGGTCTAGATTAGTTGGTTCCTTATATATACAAGTAACCGAACTGGCTCCCCTAAAATTGATTCAAATCCGGCAATTTCTATCTAGATCGACTGTTCTTAAACCTTTGTCGGTCCAAGTCTATTTGATACGGAGCCAACCTTGGTCGGGCTGAGGTTTGGGTCTATCTTGGACCTTATTGGGTTGGGTTAGGTGCATGCTGTGTTGCTCCAATATTAACTAAAGAAAAAAAAGATAAAAAAAAGAGAGAAAGGTGCAGCCATTGACTTTCTTTTAGGTACCTAACCCCTGGGTATTAATTTGTAGGTGATTTGACTTTTTTAGTAAATAGTATTTGAGCTCATCAAAGGTGCACGGTTGGCGAGGAGACACCATGAATGGAAAGGGCACACGCTTGACCCAAACATACGCCAGAGCAAGCGTGGGTGGCTTGAGAGGAGTGCATGCATTTTGGGAGCGAGAGAGTTATTAGGTCTAATTTTTCTTTTTCTTTGTTTTTTCTTTTTTATAATGATTAAAAGTTAGAATTAATTGACTTTTTTGAATTTTTTATTTAAGTCGAATTGTCTTACATCTTGATCAGGAATGGTTGATCCTGATTGGATTCGGTGGGTGGGTGATCCAAATCTTATTAGAATTGTCATTTAATATCATTCTTTTATGGGTGTGGTTTTATAAGGTTGCAACTTTAAACAATCACATTAAGGCGCACTTCCAAATTTATCGTAATACATAATTTTGGTGACAATTTTTATTAGGATTATCTCAAAATCTATTTTCATAGCTAATTATAAAAATTTAAACTCTATAAATGGTTAAAACCAAGTAGATATATAAACATACGAAAAATCTTGAAAATGGATGGTCTAGAAAGTGTATTTCAAGATGCACTATTTTTATGGCTCTAAATCTTTTTTTTTTTTCATATTCATATATCTCGATGTGATCAATTAGAGATTTTTTTAATATTAAAACAACATTTTTCTGATGGTTTTTTGAGGTACATCTGCAAGTCTACATTTTAAAGTTACAACCTTTTTCCTACTTTTATTATTTTACACGAGTTTTTTTATGATCCGGTCGATCCGGTATATCCAAATCTAAACTCAATTATGAGTTTCAAAACTCTAATGGCGCGTTTGATTATTGGAAGGTGCAGTTCTGGAAACCGCACCATTTGAAATAATGGAAATGGCCTATTCCATACCACCACGGGGCAGCCGTGATTTTCTTTGCTCGATCTCATTTTGGAACCGTAGGATGTTGTGGCTTCTAGAAAATGCGTCCTTGGATCAAACAAGAAAGTGCAACAATTTCAGGAAGTGGCGGTTTCCATGCATTCAAACTTCAAAGGAAAAAGTTTATATAAGGTTGTAACCTTAGAATGTAGAATTAAAGATGCAATTAAAAAATCCTTCGGAAAATGTTGTTATAATGTTGAAAAAGCCTATAATTGATCATCTCGATATCGAAATGTATAAATATAAAAAATAGAATAAAATTATTCTCAATCCCATTGGTAGTGGATCTTACAAAACATTATCTAGACCATCCATTTCCAAAACTTTCATATACTTATAGATCTACTTGATTTTAACCATTTTTTGAGTTTAAAATTTTATAATTAGATATGAAAATAGATTTTCAGATGAGCTTTAAAAAAAATTATACTAAAATTATATGTCATAATAAAATTTAGAGGTGTGCCTTAATTGGATTGTTTAAGGTTGCAACCTTATAGAAACCACACCCAAAATAAAATGTGCCATTGAATGAAATCATGGGATGGTGGAATTTTTCTTTGCTAACTTACTATATCACCTTCTATAAATATTGTAAATTTGATGTATAAATGTGTACTCAGAATTGCACAAGTTTTGAGTCTATCTGGTATTCTTAGAGAATATACTCTTTTATTCTCTCTCTAACAAGCTTCAATTAACTAAATAACGCCAAGAATAAAAAATAATTATTATTATTAAATAACAAT